TTGTCTAACCAGTTTTTCATAGTGATGTAGAAACTGATGATTAAAACTGAACGTTCTGAAACATTACCAGTGGACTCTCGCAATCAGTCACTGATAGAACGCTACAAGTTACTGATTCAACACTATCAGTACTTTTTCTTAAGGGCAGCGTTAAAAATAATACGTCTGAGGCCCGGTTTTTCATTCGCTGGTTGAATGTTAGCCAGAAAATGAAAAACCTGAAGAAGGACGCATTTTTATCGCATATGAAACCGCCGCGTTTAAGCTTGTTGGACTGGCGCGCAATTAACGCGAGCTGCAATCTACCTCAGACCACCCCGTTTTCAATTTTATATTGCACGTAGTCGTTGCGTCATAAAATTACCGAGGATTATCTATCTGGTACATAACGAGGCGAAGGTGACGATAACGGTGGCTAATGAAAGCCCTCGCGCAGTTGATGACTCGGCCGTCCGATCCGTGATTAACCGCGCTCATTCGGAAACCCACCATGGAGCTAATCGCAAACGTTATCTCCGCAAGGTGTGCAACACGTTAATCGTTTCGCTCGGACGATACGCCGTGCAGGCAAATATACCGCGTATCGCGCGAAAATGTCGTCGCGAAGAGGCGCCTTGAAAGAATGAAAGCTTCAAACTCGACACTGGCAAGGAAAACGTAAAGATAAAAATTCCAGGAATCTTCACGCACGAGTTGTCTCTTTGTCTCTAAATTTAAGATTTAGATGTCAATCTTTATTGAAAGCTATTCTCAAAACGATGGAATGTCAGATCTAATCTGGATTTGATTTGACATTGGCGAGAAAAAAAATTATGAGCTACGAATATTGCGATGCGTGAGCTGTCCGGCGTTGCGAAAATGATTAGTCCACTTTTCAAAGCTACTTTGCGATTGCGTAAAATTGTGTCCATAGATAGTGGCGCGGCAATTGCAGGTCTTTTCTGCTATCTCGTCACCGATGTGGAGTAATTAAAATACTCTGGTACGCGCGCGTTTCGTTCCCGATTATTACGTTCAATTTCTTGCCGAGCCTTCGTTCTGTACTTTTTTTTTCTGTCGTCGTCTGCTATTTGATGATTTAGAAATTCGGTTCATGAAAATTATTACGACACTGTCATCCCAGCGAGAAATGACTCTCGTCGATCGATGTCGAAACGATGCCGATGCGACATCAATTTGACGGCGTCGATGTCAATTCGACGAGTCATTTCTCACTGGGATCATATCGTTTCAAGTTTAATGTCTCCAACATCACGTGGTGGTAAAAAGAGATCAATATTTCACACGCAATTTCTAAGCGGTATAGCGAACGACGCCCGTATTTGCCAATTAATTTCTTACGTAAAATGAACACACGTACGTAGAGGAAAATAACGTGCCATTAATTGACGAGTGGTGCTACACAATCTTGACCTAGATATAAAAGTTTCGCGTTGACGTCTGTCACGGTGACTCCTCGAGCATCGCGTTTGAATCCAAGGTCGTGACGAAGGCAGCCCCCCTCCCCCCCCCCGGCCCCTCTGATTGTGAGCGCTCGCCTAGGATACAGCGGGTTCGCGCGCGAGCGAGACGGTACCGCGCCTCTCTCCTAGGAGAGAGCAGCCAATAGAGAGCGATTCCGACAGCGGCGCCGACGCACTCGGGCTCTCTCCTACTCTCGTGAGATGGTCTGCCGAATCAAATCTAACGGCGGATATCTCGTGCGCGCGCACGGCCGCTCGGGAGAGTGCCTATTGGCGTCTGCACCCGGGCGCCGGCTTAAGATGGACGTTGCGCGATGGTACCCTAGATCATGGACCACGCGCGTGACGCTATTAGAGAACGTCATTGAAATCTCTAGCCCCTCTGCCCCACCGGCGATCAAACTCGACTTAACTTCGGCCGGCATTCGTAGTCCGTTCTTACATTTAAGAATCATCTTAAGTATCTTAAGGTGTTTCTAACCAATCATAGAGCCATATTAGCTTCTTAAGGGGATGCTGGAGTGATTCTGCACTTTCGCACCTTTATGCACTTAAAACTGTCTGTTTCGTGGAAAGATTTGTGTAATACACAAATTAAATGGCACGTGTACAGATGATCGAAAGCAGCTTGCTATTCCGGCTAAATTAAAGAATAATATGACATCACTGAAACT